TGGAAATTATCAGCAAAACAATTGGCTAAACTTTTACTTATAGTTGAGTTCACTTGTAATAACTCAGTTCAGACCTCCACTCAGAGGTTCCCATTTCAGACTACCTATAACCACCACCCATGTCTGCTACTGAACTTTTCCAGTTGTCTTTTTTTCCTAAAAGCCTGCCATTTTCTCTAGGTACTTCAAATTTCCTTAAATATCACCTGGACCATGTCAAGCCCTCTTAAAAGCAATTTGCTGTCACAGCTAAGAAAGTGTTATTCATTGCTGTTGAAGTCAATGTCTGGCTTTCTATCCAAAGTAGAGCAGCTGGCAGGATCTAGCTGACTTTGGCTGATCTCAAAAACATCTAAACAGGGTTGCATTGGTAAACAATCAAGAAATGATAGTGTGGATGGCTAGAGTGGTTAGCTAGACTAGTTAGGTGGGGAAACATTCCAAAAATCATACGCTGCAGCCGTTTCCATATTACTGTCAACACCCATAGGCTTCCCCTATAGCAGGGGTCTTCAAACTTGACCCTTTTATGACTTCTGGACTTCAACTCCCAGAATTCCTCAGCCAGGCAAGTTGGCTGAGGAATTCTGGGAGTTGAAGTCCACAAGTCATAAAAGGGCCAAGTTTGAAGACCCCTGCCCTATAGCTTCCAAGAGCTGATTATATTATCTTTATATTATATTATTGTATAATAATTTATATAATATTATCATATTATATTATTTTCCATAACTATCAAGGACTCAAAAAATTTAAAGAGGATGGAAGCACATTATTTATGTTAGAGAACTGCTATGGAACGCCAAGACTATAAACATATGCTGAAGTATAGAAGACTGTGTTTACCTTTAATTGTGATGCTAAATCCACTATCATTACCTTTTCAAGTAGCATTTGTTCTTCCATTCTCACCTGACTGCTTGGGGGTTTTGACCAACGTCCCCTTCACTGTTCTACAATGGGAATTGTCACCCCCGCAAACACCACACTTGTCATCCTCCTTCAGGGAACCTATTTCTCTGTCGCACCCAACATGCTGCCATTCAAAGAAGAAAAACACATTATTAAGAAATGGGGTTAAGGATGCAAATTCAAAATGGCAGTCCTTCCAATGAACTTGGAACAGGCCTTGCAGAGTACAGTTAAATATTTCTCTCTGTATGACGGGATGATATACTTCAGTGTCTCTCAACCTTGGCAACTTTAAGCTGTGTGGACTTCAGCTCCCAGAATTGCCCAGCTGGTATTCATTTACTTTGTGGGCAACCATCAGATGATCAGATTTAACCAAATAGGCCTACTTATGTTTATATTTTAAAGGAGCCTCACAAATCAATAAAATGTATTTTAAAATCAAAACAAAAGTTTAAAAAAAATCTATATAATTGCCTTTCCTGGTTTGCCAATGTATTTCTTTCAGATATTCCTCATATGGTTTATTCCTAGGCCTGGCATTTTCTACTGGAACTTAAAACATATTATGGATATTCTGCTTTAAGTACACAATCTGTTCATTTGCTGTATATGGTAGTGGCTCTTCAGAACTGTGACTCAGGATGTACCTTTCACTTTTTCTGCTGCTGCACATTTCATGGGAAGATTATTTATTCATGCATATATTGTTTGTGGGTTTATCTTCTGTATCCCTAATCTGCTTTCAATAAAATCTAGTTCTTGTTTCTTCTTCTTGTGCCATATCCGTTATCAGATGTTGGCGATCATGCTGGCGATCCTGTTTTTATCAGCAGCCGCACGAAAAAGTGCTGCTGAGTTTTGTCCAAACCAGTCCCTTAGATTTTGAAGCCACGATGTTCTTCTTCTGCCTGGACCTCGTTTGCCTTCAATCTTTCCCTGGAGGATTAAATGGAGTATGCCGTATTTTCCTGGGTGTTCTTGTTTATGTGAAATAATTCCTTGGAAGGCAGAAAATGCTGAACTTTGCAGCTGAGGAGCGTGACGTTATGAGTGTGTTTAAATCATCATTGCTGAAATGTTTTAGAGCAACAGACTCTCATCCAGGGCTTTCCAGGTAGTTCTGGTCCTCAATACAACCATTTGTTTGTTGACCGTTTAACGCTACAATGGCATTGAAAAAATAACTTATGACCATTTTTCACGCTTATGACTGTTGCAGCATCCTTATGATTACATGATCAAAATTCGGGTGCTTGGTAACTGGCATGTACTTATGACGGTTGCACTGTCCCAGGATCATGTGATCACTGTTTGTAACCTTCCCAACTGGCTTCCAATAAGCAAAGTCAATGTGGGAAGCCGGATTTACTAAATGAATACGTACATGATTTACTCAAAAACTATAGTGATTCACTTAACAACTGTGGCAAGGTCATAAAATGAGGCAAAACTCACTTAACAACTGCCTTGCTTAGCAATGGAAATTTGGGGCTTAATTGTGATGACAAGTCAAGAACTGTCTGCATAACTTTACCATGGCCACTGCTGGCACTGAAATCAGAGAACGTCTGTCACATATCTATTATAACTCATTTTAGAAAAGTTTCTAAAACTTGAATGGACCTGCAAGTTACATACCACACATTCACCCCTTACACAGATACTGTATGGATCTCTGTAGGTGCACCTGGTACCATCGTGAACAACCTGGTTCATAAATACCACATCTCCAGTTTCCTCAGACTGGCAAATTAGTTCACATTTCTGGGCATCTGCAGAAAAACAAAATACATGGAAAAGATCGGTTCTATGTTCTGGTAATTGAGGTGAGAAGTGGAACTCTGTATTTACAATTCAACTTCCTGGGAATCAAGGAAACCAATCTATGATGGTTTCTTCCTCCTAGCAATTCTTCCTTATTTGCAAAGAGAACAATGATACCAAGGCCTAAACCTGAGATGTCCAACCTTAGCAACTTTAAGACTTGTGGACTTCAGCTCCCAGAATTCTCCAGCCTTAGGTCTGTTGGTTGTCATGGGGCCCTAAGGGAGAAGGTGTAGCCTGGAGGTGGTTGATGCAGTGACAGAGAAGACACCATATCTGCTCTGATCCCTTTTTTTTTTTTTAAATTTGTATTGAAAAGTATTTCCATTTTAATTCATTTTTATATTTATAATTGTTTTTATATTCACAACGACAATTTTACTTGGTGCCATACATATTTATGTGTATTGTTCAAATTGTTTTTATGTTTTGCAATGCATTGGTTATAAGAAATCAAAGGAGAGAAGCAACCGAGAACTAAGGAGAAACTTCCTGACAGTTAGAACAATTAACCAGTGGAACAACCTGCCTCCAGAAGCTGTGAATGCTCCAACACTGGAAGCTTTTAAGAAGAGACTGGACAGCCATTTGTCCGAAATGATATAGGCCAGTGATGGCAAACCTTTTAGAGACCGAGTGCCCAAACTGCAACCCAAAACCCACTTATGCATCATCAGGTGCCGGGTGAGTGTGGCCCATTGGCTGGCTGCAGTGGTAACGGCAGAGTGGGTGGGACTAAAAAATTCAATCAATCAATTCCAACTTTGCAAGATCTTTTTTTTCCGCGAGAAGTTGACATTGACTGATTGATTGAACCTTTTTTTTTGCACACGGTGGCGGAGGCCTAAAGCGAAAAGGTTTTATAAAACCCAGCTGAAGGCCTAGGACTGGGGCGACGGCACGCGTGCCCACATAGAGAGCTCTGAGTGCCGCCTCTGGCACCCGTGCCATAGGTTCGCCACCACTGGTATAGGCTTTCCTGCCTGAGCAGGTGGTTGCACTAGATGACCTCCAAGGTCCCTTCCAACTTTTATTATTATTATTGTTGTTGTTGTTATTATTATTATTATTACTAGCTGTTCCCGGCCCGTGTTGCTGTGGCTCAGTCTGGTTAAATGGAAAAGAAAGAAAAGAGGTGTGACATCTATATGATTCCGGATCTCCTTACTTTCCGCCGCGCCCTCAAGACATGGCTTTTCCTGCAAGCGGGCCTGGCCTAGGGAGGGTTTTAAATCGGGTTTATTTTTTAAGAAAATTTTAAACAGCACAACTTTAAAATATTTGGTTTTAATTGGTTTTATTTGGCGGGGATTGTAAATATGTTTCTGTTTTTAAATATGTTGTGAGCCGCCCTGAGTCCCGTTGGGAGAAGGGCGGGATATAAATCAAAATAAATAAATAAATAAATAAATAAATAAATAAATAAATATATAATAGTAGGTATATAAAAACACGCGCGTATTTGAATGCAACGTTGTGTCAAAATTTCAAAGCAATCGGTGAAGAACTTTCGGAGATTTAAGATTTTGAACAAACGAACATTTACATTTTTATTTATATAGATTATTATTATTATTACCATCAGGGTGCTCATAAGGAAGCCAGGTGTGCTTAGAGTTTTCATGGGTGTAATAAGAGTTCCGCTTGGAACACTGCTGAGCATGAAAATCCTCATAGGGACCTTGGCACTCTTCGGCGTTGCAGACCTGATAGTCATACGTAGCACCTGGACACTGGCGGCCACCATAAGCTGGGCTGGAAAACAAACAAAAGAGCCAAATAAGGACCGGAGCACTCAAATTCTGCAGCCCAAGGCAAGCAGGAAGGGCATTCGGTTTCATTCATTTTAACCTTTTCTTTTGTTGGTTTATATAAATGAATAAAAATTATATTTTACATTGTTTTTTTAAAAAAAATCTCAAAGCAGGCATACAATGCATATAATGGAAACATCTGCAAGTAAAGTGTATTTACTATTAACAATAAGCTCTAAGACAGAGGTCCCCAACCTTTGGGGCACCAGGGACCGGTTCCATGGAGAGAGGTTTTTCCACGGACCGGAGTGGGCGTGGTTTTGTGTGCTGCCTGCATCCCACGGATGGGGATTTGCTTGTTTGTGCGGACCGGTTGCTGGCATGCCGCGGCCTGGTACTGGTCCACGGACTGGGGGTTGGGGACCCCTGCTCTAAGAGGATACAGGTTACAATGAGATTCAGGCTTAGCCTCATCCGATCATCTGTTCTATTATTTGTTTTTGAATCAAGCCTCTTCTGATTAAAGAGGACAAATAGAATTGATTTATCATAATCAGAAATTAGCATATTAGTGAACATTTACTCTAAATTCCCTGATGGATACACTTATCACTGAGGACAGAATAGCACTTCCTGTTGTGGAACTATGGTAACTAATGAAAATCTGTTGTTCTTTGAACATTGCTCTAAAGGTAGGAGCAGAACCACTGTAATATGATGCCCCAAAGAAATGTGACAGAATGAAGGAATTAACCTTGAGAAAGATCTTTGCTGATAATTAAGACTGGCTTATAGCTAAGCAGCCACTGTCTAAGCTCTAGTTTAATATTAGCTGTACATCGTAGTTTATTTAAGTGCACCCATTAAAAATACACAATATTTACAGACCTAATTTTGTTAGAATTGACATTGTAGGCAGTCATATAACCAAAGACTATAAGGGGAAGAGAGACCATTCTCATATTTTGGCATTTATTAATTGCACTATGATTTCTTGCATAAAATCTTCTCTTTATTGTCAGCTATACTGGGGAGAGACCCAGTTTGGTGCAGTAGTTAAGGCACCAGGTTAGAAACTCAGAGACCATAAGTCAGTGGTGGCAAACCTTTTAGAGACCAAGTGCCCAAACTGCAACCCAAATCCCACTTATGTATCACTGGGTGCCGGGTGGGCGTGGCTATGGTGGAAATGGTAGACTGGGTGGGCGTGGGCGTGGTGGGCGTGGCCAGCTCGATGTTGCTCTGGCGGGTGGGGCAGTGGGCAGGAGGGCATCTTGCTCAGCAGGTGGGGGGCATGGGGGGAGGCTCTTGAGTCCTGCAGCTCTTCCGAGGGGGGGAGGAGGGGCTGTGCTGGGATTGGGGCTCCTCGTGCCTTCCGCTGCCTGCCTGCGCTCTTCTGCCGAAGATGCCGCGGCTCTGCTTGCCTGGCAGGGCAGGGGCACGCTCGCGCATGGGAACGCACATAGGGCTGCTGCCTCCTTTTCCGTGCCTGCTTCCACCGAAAGTTGCTCCCTTTATAGCCTCTTGCCTATTCCCAGACTGCGCATGTGCGGAGAGCTGCGCATGCGCAGCTCTGCGGAAAGCTGTGCATTCACGGAGAGGAGGAGGGAGCAGCTCGCCCCAGCAATGGCTTGCGTGCCACCAGAGATGGCTTCGCGTGCCACCTCTGGCACGCGTGCCATAGGTTCACCACCATGGCCATAAGTTCTAGTCCCACCTTAGACATCTGGATGACCTTAGGCCAGTTACTTTCTCTGAGCCCCAGGAAATAGGCAATGTTAACTTGCAGTTGTCAGCAGTCAACACTGACTCAAAGGCACATCTACACTCACAAAAGTTCAGGGAACTATAGAGTTGCTCTGCTAAATAAGGTAGGTGCTCTTGACACCTTTATCCCACGGAAAACCAGACTTACGGTGGTCTGTTGCAGTTCCTGCTGCGGGAACGCACCCCACCCCCACAAGTCCTGGAGCAGGAACCAAATTTGGACCAGGAACTCCAGCCGCCATCCTGGCTGTAAGGTTGTTCTGAAGTCTTCCAGATGCAGTGACCCTTGAAACACCACTGGAACAGGAGAAGAAATAAGGGTTACCTGAACACCTGCCTCTTCATATCTGTCCAGTGTTAGTGAGGAGAGCAGTTCTACCGCCACAGAAGCACCCAGCTTTACAATAGGGTTCGGAATCTGTTCCTCCCACTTTCATTGGTCAGGCAGACAGGGATGACTGTGGAGCAATAAAGAAAGGTCTCAGGGGGGCCTGGGTGGCACAGGATAGTCACGAAAAAACCTTATCACTTCTAGAGCACCAACGTTGAATCTTGGCACAGTCCAATAACATGCTGACTCCTATCCTTACCTTACTTCCCCCCCTCCCCAAACACATCTATATTTTCCAGTGGGAAAACCAAACGGATATCATGGGAAGGCATTACACTAGGAGACTTCAAACTTGGCAACTTTAAAACTTGTGGACTCCCAGAATTAGCCAGCCATGGGGAATTCTGGGAGTTGAAGTCCACAAGTCTTAAAGTTACCAAGTTTAGAGACCCCCGCATTAAACCTACACTTGTATCTTCCATGAACGTAGCGAACACAAAATATGAACAGCAAACAGTCATAGGTTAAAAAGAAACAACTATCTTTTCACTATTAATCAGGAGGTGTGACCTGAAGTATTTTAGTGCTGCAGGAAATATCAAAGAGAAACCATCAGTGCAAAATAACAACTACCAGGAAAATGTACAAAGTGGTTTAACGTGAGATTTCAATCATTATTTATTTACTAGCTGTACCCGGCCACGCGTTGCTGTGGCTCAGTCTGGTTAAATTTACGTCCAACAGATGGCGCTGCTTTTCAAAAAAAGCATGTTTTTACCTGTCACAGGTGTGACATCTATATAATAGTAGGTATATAAAAACATGCGCGTATTCGAATGCAACGTTGTGTCAAAATTTCAAAGCAATTGGTGAAGAACTTTCGGAGATTTAAGATTTTGAACAAACGAAAATTTACATTTTTATTTATATAGATGAGCCATGGTGGTACAGTGGTTAGAATGCAATATTGTAGGCTAACTGTACCCACAGCAGGAGTTCGATCCTGACCAGCTCAAGGTTGATTCAGCCTTCCATCCTTCAAGGTTAGTAAAATGAGGATCCAGATTTTTGGGAGCAAATATGCTGACTCTGTAAACTGCTTTGAGGGGGCTGTAAAGCACCATGAAGCGGTATATAAATCTAAGGGCTATTGGTATTGCTATTGTTATGCATAGCCCACCCAACCGTCTCAGGCATTCAAAAATTAAATTCAGGCCTAATTTTTTACAGCCACTCAAATTGTACAGAATGCCAGAATAGGAAATTGCTAAAGTTATCTGTGAGAAATACCAAGCATGGGAAAGACTGTAAGAAAAATGAGGAAGTTACTCTTTTGATTACAGGAGTAAATTCTGGGGATCCCGTGCCTTTAGCTGCAGCTCCAGCATCTCTCCCCACTCCCCAATTTTTTTGCATCTAAATGGGAGGGGAGGTTGCTCATGCATTCTAGAAGTCATTTTAAACCTGGGCATTGAGATAGGGGTATATGAATCATAGTAAGCAAACAAATTTAACAGATAATCAACTTAATCGGTTAAAAGTGAAAACAATTAATTATTAATCAATTCATCAAAAGCAGTAACAAACATTGCTATTTAATTATTCAATCAATTTATTTCCTTCCCTTCTCTTTTTCGTCCTTTTGATGTGACACTTAGCAATTGGGGTGTCAGTCCTAACTGTCGCTAAATGAGGACTACTTTGTATTGTCCATTTTTAAAAGAAAGAATATGCATAAGAGGGAAAGGATAAAAAATGTATAACGTTGTCCATTTTGGCCCATAAGACATACAGTATGTCTGTCTGTCCATATATGGATGTAAAACTGTTTGGCCTCCTGCTAAAATGAGACTGAAATAATAATAATAATAATAATAATAATAATAATAATAATAATAATAATAATAATAATAATAATAATAATAGTAGTAGTAGTAGTAGTAGTAGTAGTAGTAGTAGTAGTGGTAGTGGTAGTAGTAGTAGTAGTAATAGTAGTAATAGTAATAATAATAGTAATAATAGTAATAATAATAAAGTTGGAAGGGACCTTTGAGGTCATCAAGTCCAACCCCCTGCTCAGGCAGGAAACCCTATACCAGTGATGGCAAACCTTTTAGAGACCAAGTGCCCAAAAACTGGCCCTGCCCATGCTCCGCCCCCCACCCGCCTGCCCGCAGGGCCACTCACCGCCTCCAGGGCCCGCCACAGATCGCCCAGCAGCGCCATGGTGGCCACGCCCTCTGCCCGCGCCCCGCAGCATGAACTGTGCGTGATGGGGCGTGAGGGCAGAGTCTTATCTACACTGTCTGGCTGCCATGTCCTTGGCTGCACTGCTCCGCGTGGGCCACGCTCGGGGGTGACTCTCCTCCAGGGGGGCTGCTGGTGAGGAGGGGGTCACGGGGGGAGGCAAGGCTGGGGCAACAGCACGTGTGGCCACAGAGAGGGCTCCGAGTGCCGCCTCTGGCCCGCGTGCCATAGGTTCACCACCACTGCCCTATACTATTTCGGACAAATCTCACTCAACAGCAGACATACCTGACCCGAAGCACACTCCGTTCCATCCAAAGGTGGCCCTTTCTTCGTTTTACAGAAATAAGGGTTGTCCGGATGGCTGCACCACAGTTGTTTGCAAGGGTCAAAAGTTCTGAACTGTAAAGGAGAAGGACCACATAAAGCTTATTGCTCTTTCTCCATTTAAGCCAAATGTACTCTGCTTTGAACAATATTTTATCTTTTAATTTAGTGCAGTTGCAGCTCTACATTATAACTACAGTTTAAAAAAGAAGAAGTGGTGTGCAGTCACCAAAGAATAATCTCATAAATTACGGATTGATTAAAGCAAGGGTCCTCAAACTTGGCCACTTTAAGACTTGTGGACTTCAACTCCCAGAATTCTGGGAGTTGAGGTCCACAAGTCTTAAAGTGGCCAAGTTTGAGGACCCCTGGATTAAAGTTATCTGTTGTCTGCTATTTGCACAACTCCTGATCCAACAGGTTTGACATACATTCAAGATAAAGAGTTCACCATAGTTTTTTTTTCCAACCACATTTGCCTCGTTCAAAGCAAGATCTTATTTCTTCGTCTCAAAAGCTCATGATTCCTCCAATTTGAGATCGACCCCCTGGTGACTTCAATGATACTGCCCTATATGGTGTTTCACAGCCTTCTTTAAGGATATTTTTACTATTATTTCCCAATATAGCCAGCCTCTGCAGGGGGATAGAATGGGAGAGTAGCTAGGTATATCATGAAATTATAATCATTTAAAAAGAAACACAATTTTAGGGACCTGGCAGACAGAATTTGCATGTGGATGTCACTGCACACATGTTGTCATTTTGGTGCGCCGTTTCTTTGATGCAGCTTCTTATGAGACCAATCGCACGCACCCTCAAAAACATTATTTTGTTATTTTAACTTGCAACTTTATGGATAGAAAATATCCGTTCACTCCCATAAAACAGATTGCCACTGATTTAGTTTACCTACATATATTTGAGGGTCTGCCACAAAGAAGAGGGGTCTCAACCTATTTTTCCAAAGCACCAGAAGGCAAGACAAGAAACAATAGATGGAAATTAATCAAGGAGAGAAGCAACCTGGAACTAAGGAGAAATTTCCTGACAGTGAGGACAATTAACCAGTGGAATAGCTTGCCTTCAGAAATTGTGGTTATTTCATCACTGGAGGCTTTTAAGAAGAGACTGGACAGCCACTTGTCTGAAATAGTACAGGGTCTCATGCCTAAGCAGGGGGGGTTGGACTGGGGGGTTGGACTAGAAAACCTCCAAGGTCCCTTCCAACTCTTATTATTCTCTATTCTATACTAGCTGTACTCAGTCTGGTAAAAGCGTGTGTTGCTTTTACGTCCAACAGATGGCGCTGTTTTTTTAAAAAAAGCATGTTTTACCTGTCACAGGTGTGACATCTATATAATATAGGTATATAAAAACACGTCTGTATTCAAATGCAACGTTGTGTCAAAATTTCAAAGCAATCGGTGAAGAACTTTCGGAGATTTAAGATTTTGCACAAACGAACATTTACATTTTTATTTATATAGATTCTCTACATACGTTTCCCATCACACTGTCATGAAAAGCTACTTCAGAGGCTGAAGGGATTCTGTGGAACTGAATGGAATAAAGCCATCGGCAGCTGCAGGACATGGCAAGTGGACAAATCTAAAGCGAAGCCACCAGTGGGCTGAAGCCAACATGTGATTCATTAAGAAAAGAAACCCTAGGAATTAACAGAAGGAAGAAGAAATGGTTTCCCACACACACACACACCAACAACGTTTCCATACTCACAGCTGTGCATGTTTTGTATCCCACACCAAAGTCAAAGCGGCATTGCTCATCCATAGTGTAATCAATTCCTGGCAGTTCTGGGCGTCTGGGCCAGTTCTGCATAAAAGGATCATCTAAGAGACAGTCGTAAGAACTGCAGCACAACAAAACAGAGATTGTGTATTAGAGATTAAATGTTCCTTGCAGATTCATTCAGCTGCTCCAAAAATCCTGGCACTCTATACATTAGATCAGGGGTAGTCAACCTTGGCTCTTTTATGACTTGTGGACTTCAATTCCCAGAATTCCTGAGCCAGCACAGCTGGCTCAGGAATTCTGGGAGTTGAAGTCTACGAGTCATAAAAGAGCCAAGGTTGACTACCCCTGCATTAGATTGTATATAATTTCCTCTCATCTGAAAGAAACTCCATACACATGCTTTTTGTCCATGTCCTATCCATATTTCTTTGAGCACTTTTCCCCAATATTCTTAACTACGTATACATTATCTGAATTGCAAACTACTGTACATCACAACTTTAAGCAAAGTTAAGATGCTTATTTATAAACTGCTTCCTAATTAGTCAAAAACACAAAAGCAAGCTTTGGAATAAAGAGTATTTTTCTCCAACCCCAATATTCAAGCTATTTGGCATTTTGTATCATTCTAATTGTTCTGTAAATTATAAAGTCTTTTTGCTTCAACTGTATTCTTTCTTACCATTAATTTATCCGATACAAAATGAAACAGAATGATTTGAAAGCAATGAAGTTAAGCTTATTGTATAAGAGGTCCTTGGTGCTCTTTGATTTTAGTTGTTTTCTTGCAGATATTTCATTACCCAAAATAGGTTCCCCAGTAACATGTTACCTAGTTTGGGTAATTAAAAATCTGCAAGAAAACGAATTCAGAGAGCACCAAGGACCCCTCATTTCAACCCTGAACTACAAATATTCTCCTTTATTGGTAAACTTACTGTATATAACGGTTCAACTCCTGTTTGCTACATCGGGACCAGTGATAACGGTGAAATGCAGCCTGCACTAGTGGTGCCATAATACTGCCCATGCCAGTCTCATCAGCACATTGGTTACCTTGGCCATCGTGTTCCATACCTAACCTGTTAAAAATAAACCTTTAAGTTGCACAGTATTTCCCAAGATCCATGAAGCACTAAATCATGAAACTGTATCAGCATTTTGAATACCATTGGGTACCCTAGTACGTTTATTACCGTGTGGTCTGAAGTACATTCAATTGTTTTTGCTATTAATATAACCAGATCTGCTTTACTCATTAAAAGAAATGAAATGGGCCTACCTCTCCAAAAACGTGGTCAATCAATAATATGAGAGCAAGTGACTTGGTATCATTTGTTAAGTGCGTTTTGCCCCATTTTATAACCTTTTTTGCCACAGTGTTATTTGAATCACTGCAGTTGTTAAGTTAGTAACATAGTTGTTAAGTGAATCCGGCTTCCTCATTGACTTTGCTTGACAGAAGGTCACAAAAGATGATCACATGACCCCGGGACACCGCAACCCTCATAAATAAGAGCCAGTCACCAAGCATCTGAATTTTGATCATGTGACCATTGGGACGCTGCAACAGTCGTGTGAAAAACAATCCTAAGTCATTTTTTTCAGTGCTGTTGTAACTTTGAACAGTCACTAAAAAATGGTTATAAGTTGAGGACTACTTAATACACCTACTGAAAGATTTCTGACTGAATGGAAAATGCTCACCCACTCCATAATCAAAGTTCCACGGCTGAGTTTTCAACCCATCACAGTCAATGTATTAAAAAGGCTGTGCAGGTCCCATGAGATCAGCAGTATACAATTTCCCTTACTTGATTTCAGAGCCCTGGGAGAAATTGTATGGGCAGAGGTCAAGTATGCTAAGGTTTTCTAAGTATACCTGAGGCTGCATGCTTAATAGTTTTACCCACAGCTTTGCACAATAAGGAAAGTTTAAGTGTGTGATGGTCGACAGCCAGGAGTTGACACCAAGGTTTTTGAACAAGGTCCTGGTATTAAAGTTCTCATTAATATAGAAAGTTTTAAGACCAGCTGGAGCAAAGGGCATCCAGGACATCCCGTGTTCTACCACAGCTCCCTCAAAGAAGCAACAACCACAAAAAAGATACTGGACAACTGAAGAATAACCTTTTCCAGTAACTTACACGTGTCCTGTCTCATGAGCAACTACAAAGGCTGAAGAAAATCCATCCTCGTGGTTAAGAGTGCAGCTACGCAGAGGGTGGCACATGCCAGTGACGGGAGCATAACCTGAAATAAGATGAAGGGATAAAACAAAGAACAAGAATGAAGCAGAGAGTCAAAAAAAAGGAGGGAGGGAGAGAGAAAATGAAAAAGAAAATATGAGAAAAAAGGAACCTCATGCTGGAACTCTTTCAATCGTATTTCACAGCCACTTCTCCTCTGGGAGAGACAAATGTCTCAGAACTACTTAGCCTTATAAAGGGAAACCATGAAATTGTTCCATATGTTTCATGAAAGCAGCTATGCTTTGAACCATTAACCAAATGATAAATGGCTTAAATTTAAGAACACGCTTATAGTGTATCATTCCCCTCCCCCAAAATTTGATCGAATAGCAAGAAAAATATCAACCCCCTCCTGCCCCCAAGTTATACCTAGCTAAATATAGACTACAAATTAAGTATTTTCACCTTCCAAGTGCTTGTTGCCAGTTCGGATTTTGGAGCCCCAGGCAGAAAGCAAAAAGCAAAAAGTTCACTGGCTCTTTTATGGACCACCATGTATGGCTGTGAGCTACATTCAGGTTGATGAGTCACAAGCTGTAGGAAAAAACTAGGCCTATTGGCAAGGAGAAATGATAGTGTACATACACATGACTTTTGAATTCTGTTTAATCTGTCTCTTCACATTTTCACACAGGCAGAAAAAGAAATAAATACTCTGTGCCAATGTTTCTATGTTACTCATCCCACTCCTGACGTTTTTCTTCTTGAGATGTTTAACATTGCAAAATAGCTTTTCCCAGTTTGGTGATTCCAAATATGTTGATTATGTTGGCTTGAGAACTGTCAGAACAGAAGTTGCAGCACATTTGGTAGGAGAGTTGGACTTAAGAGGCCAGTATAATTTGTAGCAGTACGAGGCAAGACTTGACTTGAATCTGTTCTATTAATTATGCACAAAATCTTCATATACAATGTTGCAACCCCAACAGCTCATTAGAGGAGGTCATAACAGGCCATTACAGGCAGTCCTCAACTTATAACCATCTAGTGGCCGTTTAAAGTTACAATGGCACTGAAAAAAGTGACTTATGACCGTTTTTTACACTTACGATCACTGTAGCATCCGCAAGGTCATGTCACATCAAAATTCAGACGCTTGGCAACTGACTCGTGTTCATGACGGTTGCGGTGTCCTGGGGTCATGTGATCCCCTTTTGTGACCTTCTGACAATGGGGAAGCCAGATTCACTTAACAACTGTGTTACTAACTTTTAACTAGCAGTGATTCACATAACAACTGTGGCAAGAAAGGTTGTAAAATGGGATAAAACTCACTTAATGACTGTCTCATTTAGTAACAGAAATATGAGGGTCAATTGTGGTCATAAGTCGAGGAGTACCTGTATGTACTGCATCATATTCAAATGCAATCAATGGGTAGTGTTGTATTCCAATTGTGATTGAGTCACTTTTTAGAAAAAAAATCAAAGAATTGCAATACCATGTGACATTTTCATGGAATTTTCCAAATCACATCTCATCATTGGTTGATCTACCATCTGTTACTTATGATTGGAACTAGGAAGTAGAACTTGGAGCTTTTTTTTTAAAAAAAAAAACTAGACCCCACCAATCTAAAGCAAAACTTAGGAATCCCTGTTCTGTAACACTGCAATATTAAAAACAATGTCTATAATTCAGAAAATTAGACACAACGTATGGTTTTGGTCATTCCCTTTATTGTATTTTTTAGATATTCCATTATTCTGACCTGAATCTTGAAACTGTTTGTAGAGGCAGAAAAATCTAGAAAACAGCATACGTGGAAAATGCTGGCAGAACTATTAGTAAGTAGAAGGTACAAAAAAATTGCCATTAAGATGCATGTGCCAAAGGACTTTGCCAAATATCTTATTTGGTGAAGGATTATGGTGAATTGCCAACAGGGTAGAGAAGGCTGAATTTCCTCTTAAATCAGCCTGCTTTTCATTTCCAAGAACGAAACTGCATATGTGTTACACGTTACAGTCCTCATTTTTTTCCATGATGTAATGTTAATAACCTTCACCATTCAGGCAATATTTTAAAACACGACTGCCATTTATTTTGTGATCTGTTCCTCTCTCAAGGCAATTAGGAAAATCTCTACATAGTCAATGTACATGAACAATCTGTACCGTGAAAAGTCTGCATTTCCACAATTCTCAACCATCAGACCCAATACACTAAGTCAGGGGTGTCAAACTGCCGGCCCGTGGGCCAGACGCGTCACGAGGAAACCGCGCCCACCCCATTGCTGGCAATGGGGAAAAAGTTCCGATACGTTGCGCAACGTCACATGATGTCGTGAGTTTGACATGTCTGCACTAAGTGATAGCAAGCAGTGGAAGGCTGGCTGGAGTTTAACAAAATTAATTGAAAGGAGATGGTAAAGAAATATATCTTTCCTCTCCATACAATAAAATACTGTATCATATACTATCATATACTATCCCAAGCATTACATTCCACATAACAGAAGACTCCCATCTTTTTGCAAATGGAGTTGAAAAGTCAGATAACTTTATCAATGAATGTCCTTCTGCTGAATCCAAATATTGCAAAGTTGCTGCATTTTTTGACAATATTTGCAAACAGCTCTGACCCCTTTGCTCTTTGAAATTCATCACAAAAAGAGCTTATTGCACAGACATCCCATAGAAGAGTACAGTGAAAAGGAACTACTCTTATTAGAACAAATATGATCGTGCTGAAATGTATTAATACGCTAAGTGGTTGAGTGGAACTTACCAGGTAAAGGTAACAAAATGATGAGAAAATATAACATGTTTCCAAAAGTAATCCCAGTATTGCCATTTATTTACTGGGAGGATAATTCATATATAATGAGAACAACAGAAAATATGACCAGAATTCAATGGAATTTTCCTTAGATGCGACCAAAGGTTGGTGTTCACAATCTTGAGAAATTAGCTGAGATGAGAGATGATGCGTCGCCTTTCCCAGAAAACCAAACTCTATCTTTATTCCCCCACCCAAATTGCCAAGCTGAACTCACAAACTAAAATACATTCGATGTGGGTCCAGAAATGTGATTCGATGAGCAAAATCCCTTCTGTTCAGTCTTCTAGCTGGGATAGTTCATCCTAACAGAAGAGAACAGAAGAGAATCTTGTCTGTGGAGATCCAGGTTCTAGTTGTCTCAAAGGTGCTTTTTCAAAGGCAAGTGGACTGTTTTTTTTCCAAGGAGGAGGAGGAGGAGGAGGAGGA